AGCCCCAGAGGCAGATGCGTTAGTTCACTAGTGATAGCAGCCCTCACGGGACAAATCTCATGGGCCTTCCTAATCTGCTTCCCTGACAAGTGTTCTTAGGACAAAATAAAACAAAACTAGTGGAGGTGGGGGGGGGGAGATGCAGTTGGATCTGATGAGCAATCCAAGAGCAAGGTGGGGGGGTGCTCAAAGGGTTAAAGCTGTGGTGTGAGGTCACAGGCTGGAGGCTGTGTTTCCCCACTGCTCAGGGCTGCATGATTTAAGACACAGCCCCTCCCCTGGTCAGTGCCCGGCTACTAAGAGGCAGACTGACCAAAAGGGTGCATGCAAAGCTCCCAAAGGGAAGCTCCCCACACCTCAGCCGCCAATCACAGTGGGAGTCTCTGGTAGACCTTCCCATTTCTGCCTGTTTGGATTGGATTGTCACAGCAGATGGCTATCATTGTCAGACTTGCTGCTTGCAGATCTTTGGTTAAGAAATAACTCCCAACTCATCAATGTCACACAGTGGGCAGCCCTGGCCCTGCCCCTGCCCCTGTATATGGGAAAGGAAGCAGACCTGGTCCTAGGTGCAGGGGCAGCTTCTTCTCTGAGAAGTTGTCACTCACAGCCAGCCCTTCCACAGGCCCACATCACCCAGGAGGATATTCCCAGATCTGTCCACTGGCCTCAAAGTAAAATGGGCTTTGGGGAGTTTTCCTTCTTAGGTAGAATGAGCCCCCAAAAGTATCTGTAGCCTACTGCCATTAAAAGTTCATGTATAACTAGAAGAATGAGAAGTTATACTCCATTTATGTATGTTGTACATAAATACATTTATTGGCAGTATAACTCATTAGAACAAAATTTTTTTAAAAGAAAAAAGTTTTATTTCTTAAAAAAAAAAAAAAAGTTCCTGTGTAGCTCTGACAGCTCCGGAGATCGGGAGATTCCCCACATGTCTTGAGGAAGTCATTTCCCTGTCTTTGGAGAAGGGGAGTCTGCAGCAGTGACTTCAAGGCAAGAATGTGGAAGTGGTGCTAGTGGGAAGATGACTCACTCTCACTCGATAGCTGCCTAAGTCTTCCTCTGCAGGTGACCCCAAAAACCCCAGCACAGGCTTCCACTGGCAGTTATTAGCTTTGGAGATGGATTGAGGCTGACAGTGCAGCCCATGGGCCTGGCATGGACCAACGTGTGCAGAAGGAAACATCAGAAAAATAAAACTTGGTCTTAGGGTCTCCAGATCTAGAAGGGGTGATGAGGAGCCAGTCAGGCAATGATGCTGAACTCAATGATGTGATACAGGGTGTGAGCAGCATCACTCCCAAGCAGAACATAAAAACTGAACCCTAAAATGCACTTTGAATGTTCACCCCAGCCAGGGCTGGTGATGAGTGTGCTGCAGGGGTCCTTTGTCTAAGATTGCAGGAACTGCAGCTCCGCCTCCCTGTGTCATGCCTGGGTGTCCTTAGGGGCCTCAACATTGACCTACAAGTGGCAGTAGCTGGGACTTTTATAAATGTCTCTGGTGGTGCTGATGGATGTCCTACACTGAAAACAGTATACAGGAGAGAAGACTCTTACTGGGCCCCAAATTAATTTTAAGAGCACTCAAGCTGTTTCTGGAAGCTTCCGGGTCAACGCCATAACTCTGCTTCTCATTTGCAGGGGACATTCTCTTTACCGACTAAAGGTTCCTTTCTTTTAAATGTCCAGATCAAGACACATATTTTCTCCCTCTCCTGCCACTGATGTCTCCTACTGCTCTTTCAACACCAAGTCAATGTCATTAAATGAAGGCCAGGATTTACATTTGTGTTTCTTTTCTGTATATGTTGTCATTCCAGAGGGTGTGGCCACCAATACTCATGAGCTCCTCTTTGGGACTTTAACAAAGTCAACAATCCTGCCACCAGGTAAAGAATCACAAACACCATTAGAGGTGTCTAGTGATTGTCTATGCTCTATTGGAAACCTGACCATTAAGTGAACTCCAGTGAACAGTTTGATAGCTGCTTTGGAGAGCGGGTGAGTCACAGATACTCAGGACCATGACTCGCACCTTACCCTATGCCAATTAGATGTTTGGATTATATTGTTCAAACCTATGTTTATCAACAAAAAGATCACAATCCAAACAGTCACCATTACAAATAGTAATTTGTATAGTGAGTAGTCATTTGTGCAATAAACATCATCTTTGGATACAACAATTGCACAAAAAGCACAAGTACATCCAAGAAATAGTTCTAACATCCCACACACTAACTCCCACTAGAAGAGTATGACAAACAAAATATGAATTTTCTCTCCATTCATATATCCAGACCCAAGCTAATAGTTAATATGTGGGCCTTGATACAAAATTTAGAATTATAAGCTATTTACATTATGCACATGAAGATGATGGATGACTAATGTGCCAAAAGGTGAATATTTCTACATAGACACCTTCATTCATGGTAGAAATATATGACTGAATCAGTCTTCAGCACAATGGAGGTAAGCACAAAGGCAATACCAATTAATCTATTAATTTTTCTACCTTGCTCATGGAATTAGACTATTTTAAAGTATACTTCCTTTATAGATACATTGAGAATTTGTAAATTCTTATGTAGAGATTTCTAACATATTTTCAAATGCATAAATCAAGTTCCATATCTCTGACACAAAATTAGTATTGCAAAACCTGTCCTAGTAGAAATTTGTCTTTAATGAGTAACTTGAAATGATTTTTAATTCAAATATCGAGGAGCCAACTTAAGCAATCAGGGCATGGCCTTTGCTTACACTGAATTACTGTAGATTATTTATAAACCAAAGGTTACATTTTAAACACTTTAAGTAGTTCATTCCCTTAAGTAGGTAAACAGTACTTGCCCTAGTTTGCTATGGCTCCCTAAATTCAAGCCACAAATTGGTGGCTTAAAAGAAAACCACAATTGATTCTCTTACTGGAGTTCTGGAGGCCAGAGTCTGAGATCAGCTTCCCAGGGCTAAACTCAAGGCGTCCACCTGGATGTTCCTTCCAAGGAACCACTGTTGCCTCCCCTTTTCCAGCTTCTGGAGGCCACCTGCCTCCCGGTGCTGCCTTCCATCCCTCCATCCACTCACTTCCCTCCTCACATCTGGTTCCCCCTTTACCTTCTCACTTGCTCTTCTAAAACCTTGTGATTATTTTAGGTCCCACCCACATCATCCAGGTTAATCCCCCTGCTGAGATCCTTAGTTAAGCCACATCTTCAAGTCTCCCTTACGGTATCATTCCAGATTCTAGGGATTAGGACAAGGACATCATTGGTGGGGAGGAGGACAACATTATTTGGCCTCCTCCAATGTTTATGTGATCTTATTCACACTGTGCCTTTATGAATTTCTTTTTTTTAGAGAAGGTGCAAAAAATAAGTTTCAGAATGGATGGCCATAATTACACGACACGGTATTGACTACGGTGCTGGATGGAGGAGGAGGAGGCCGGTGTTTAAGTTCTGCTCCACCGTATCATTAGTGGGAAAAGTGAGTGGACGCTGGCATGTAGAACAATTTTGCGTGTAAAGAGATCAAAGAGGTGAGGGAAGAGGAAAGAAAAGAAATACAAAAGAATGTATGGGCTTGTGGACCTGAGACGACCAAGAGGAGCATGTGAATTTGCCTCCATCACCAAATACCATGCTGGATGATCTGGCCAAGTCGGTTCCTTGAGTTTCGGTGTTCCCATCTGGGAAATGACGTTTTGAAGTGTATTCCATCTCACTCTAATTACCTACAAATAGTAATCATGTACAAACTGAGACAGGGTTTGTGGGGTGTCCTGTAAATGGTATGGTGCTCTGCATGTTGAAGGCAGCATCATACCCAAAAGCCCTGAGACCTGGGTGGGAAGGAAAATAACTTCATCCAATGTCAAAACCTGCCTTCTGTGTCAGCCTGGAAAAAAACCGCAATACAGCTAAAAAAGAGATCTTGTAATAATAATAATAATAATAATAATAATAATAATAATAATAATAATAGTAATAATCCGATTGCATCCCTGGATCTCCTCTCCTCCTGTTTTTATCTCGTATCCAATGCAAACGCTCCCTTCTCTAAGGCACCCAGTGAGCTGTGTGTGTCTGTAGCCTGGCCATTTCGAGGACTGCAGTCTGCCAGGGTAGGTTGATCCTCCAACCTGGAATCTCTAGGAGTCTTGTTTCAGTCATTACTCAGATTTCAAATACCATTTCTCATTTCGAAGGAAACTGGTTTAGAAATGAGTCATTTGCAGCATTATTGCTTTAGGAACCCTGCATACTCAGGAAGCAGAAGGACCTAAAGCAAGCAGCTTACTCCCTACGGGCATCCAATAATCAAGGCAAAACCGACATCGGAGTGCCACACTCAGGGCTGGGTCAAAAACTAAAGGATTAAAATGGGCCTGTCTCCTCCTCCCTCCCAGGACCCCACCAGGCTCCTTCTCAGATGTGGAGTCCTGTTCTTCATAACAAAACCATTTTCTTCTAAGTTTGGTTTTATTTTCTGGTTTCACTCCAGCTACTCTGTGACAGTTCAAATCCCTGGGCCTTGGTTTCCCCATTAAGAGGTATAGGCTCAGTGGATCACGGACAAGAGGGACTTAGTTCTATGTGCCACCTAGGACAACCCCCTCATGTTGCAGATAAGAAAACTCAGGCCCAGAGAAGGGAAGTGAGATGGTTAGGGCTATGTCTTGGCCTTCATTTGTGTCCCTGTAGGTGCCCAGGTCCACAGTTTCTGTGGACACTTGCTAACTGAGAGCGATGATGGAAGAAACACAGGACTGGGGGATTTTAGTTAGAGGGAAGACATCAAGAATAATCCAGGCTTTGAAGCAAGCCCAGATGGGCAGGTGTGGGAGGGTGGGGGCTCCGGGCAGCCACCTACCAGCTGGGTAACCTTAGAAAAAAATTATTTATTTTTGTTTCTAAAACTCATTTTTTTTTTCAATTTTAAGATGGAACAAGAGAAGAAACAATGAAAACGTAAGGATAAGGTGGTAGTAAAGCACAAATATACTTGGCATTGCTGCCACCTTGGAGGCCAAAAGCAACAGTAAGCTCTGGGGGCTCTGGTGGAGAGGGCACAGAACCAGTGCTGAAGGCCTGAGGCTCGCACACCCTCGACCAGCCTGAAAGCCCCGCCCCATCACCAAGGCAACACAGGCTCTCCTGGCTTCCACACTTATCCCTCGCAGCTGGTTACCATTCTAGAAAACTCAGAGGCGGTAGTCTGGGTCGAGCTGACCTGGCTTCACCTGTGTGCCTCTAGGGGTGACCTCCCTGGCACCTCCCCATCCCACGAGTTCACACTGCCCTGCAGCTGGTTCCTCCAGAGCACCGAGCCTGTGGCTTGCTACAAACTCCAGGAAGATGCTCGGGGGACCTGGAGGCGCACCAAGCTGGGCCTTGGAGATAAGAAGGGCTGTGCCAACAGCAGGGTGGGCCACTCTGAAGGGTGGAACCTGCGTGGGCCTCCAAGCTGAGGAACATTGACACAGCTGTGGGGGAGATGCCCCTGTCACCCCTGGAAGAAAATAATGGCAGGCAGAGAGGTGGCTTGCAAGGTACTTTGAGGAAATCTCACCTCAGGCAACAACCGAGGAATTAATGTCTAGGTCATCTCAGAAAATGTTTTCTGGCATTGTGGCCCTGGCTGACAGGTACAGTTTGGCAGGTAGTTCTTCCAGTTCCTGAAGCAGGTCCTCTGGCAGGTGTCGACGCTGTGAATTATCTCTGCTCTCCTGAACCTCTGTTTGCCCTTGCAAAAGTGTGAACTGATAATGAAGCAGTGAGATTGTCAAACCATCATCCATCACCATTTTAACAGCGGCAGAATAAAGAGGGAAACTGGTGAGAGGAAGTAACGTGGCTCTGGAGTGCAGAAGGTTTGGCCATGACTTCCAGTGGTACCCTGCCTTGGATAGGCGGGATTTTTTTCCAGGTGTCCTCATCTATGAAATGAGAATGTCAGTCTTGCTAGTTCTCTTTGATCATGGTGAAGTTCAAGTAAGAGTCCTGTAGTACAGGTGCTTGGTGGACGCTGTCATTGCCACTGTCTCTCCTTGCAGTTTCCTTTGGGGAGTTTTGAAGTTGGCAGGGAAGTTCTCAATAGTGACTTGCATGCTGGTGCCCCATGCTGCCTTTCAGGGGTAGGTGTGCCCTGCAGTCTCTGTCCAGGGCAGTCTTTCCTAATTAACAGCAGGCACGTGCTTAGTGACCACCAGGAATCCTCCCAGTGGATAGAAATCAACCTCTCCCTCGGATCAGAGCAGGCCAGTGGCAATTGGTGCTTAGGAGGCAGGGAGGTGAAATCTCAATGGTACAATCCTGTGCCCTCTTCTCACCTGGATGACCTTAGTTTCAGGATCCTGAGCCAGGAGCACAATAAGACAGTGACTCTGCTGGTGGGGGTGGCAGAAGAAACGGGTATTTGCTGAGGCCAGAGGGAAGAGAACACAGGAGGAAAGTGGCTCACTCTTGCCTCCAAGATGCTGTCCGACACAGACTCTGGGTGGACACTGCAGTGGGCAAGAAAGAGAAGACCAGGAAGGACAGCAGGGAGCATGAGCAGGCCAAGAGGGAAAAGGAGCCGGAACGGGAGAGGATCCAGCAGAGTGAGAGACCCTGGGCAGGTGGGAAGGGGGCAAGTTTCCCAGGAGATTCTGTGGGGACGGAGAAGGAAGCCTCTAGTCAGACCTTTTACCTTCGGGGTTTTTCTTAACTGAAGACTGGAGTGTGAAGCAATTGAAGGGCTCCGGGCTCCGTGGCAGGGAGGCAACTGCCAGTTCTGATGCCCTCAAAGAAGCTGGCCGGGATCTGGTCTGACGGTGTATCATCTTGAAGCCTAACTCAGGGGACTGAGGGAGGAGAGGAGACTCCTGGATTCCTCTGCTCTGTGGCTCCCTGATGGCTGACCTGGGACACCCTAGCACAGGGAAAGCTCCCAGCTCTCAGGCATGCACTTGGCACATGGGACTCTACAATCAGGCAGCAGATCATACAACCCATTCCAACAACTTACCAGCAAAATGTTCTTCTCTAAGAAATGTTTACGGTCTTTCTTCCAGGACTTGAAGAAATGTCTAGACCTTGTTTCTCCCATTGTCTGACCCTATGAGGAGTTCAGGGGAATTCACTGCAGCCAGTTGACCTTGACTGAGCACATCCTACCCGCCGGGCAATGTCCCAGGTGCTAGAGATTGGACAATGAATGCCATCTACTCCTGGCTTAAGGAGCTCTTGATCTAGTGAGAGAAGATATAATGCCATCAGTTTTACAGACGATGACACAAACTGTAGAATTCTGATGCCATAAAATGTTCCTTTGTTCTTTTTTTGACTCATTTATTCAGAAAATCTTAGTTGCTGAGTTCTCAGGATGTTCTGGGCATTGTACAAGGTGCTGATACCAGGACTATGGGACATACTCTGCCCCACCATTGACACAATGACAAATATATGGAACCCTTGAGGGGTTTTTATTTTGGGTGTGCTCTGGAATCTTACTGACCTTAATCTCTGTGCCTTCATTTCCATCACTTAAATGCCATCCAGTGGGGTGAGGAGCATCTCTGGTGTGTGTCTATGTTACAGATGTGTGAGTGTCTGTGATACAGATGTACACACACACACACACTACTGATACTGCTGCCCTAGATCTCAGAATACTGGAAAAGAGGGATGGAGAGTGATATAAGAAAAGAAAGCTGCAGGCAGATTAAATAGGCTGGTACTTGCAGGAGAAGGGGACAGTATCATAGTTCAGAGGACAGGCTGAATATTCAACCTAGCTCAACACAGTGGTTAAGGGCTTGGGGAGGATCAACTGGATCAGCCATTCATTAGCACTGTAATCCTGAGGAAATTACTTGATCTTCACATCTGAGCTTCCTCCTCTGTAAAAAGAGAATAGCCGTGCCTGTCTCACACCTGTGTGGGAAGATTCACTGCAGTAATCTATGGAATACTCCTGGCCTGACATTATCATCCATCGTCACTATCAAAGTGGCACTGACCAAAGCGCCCAAGGGGAGGGATAGGAGAAGGTGGCAAAGACTTGAACTTGATGTTGGGTGGGGGCAGCCTGGGGCAGATAGAATGGGTCCAAGTACCCTTCTGTCTCTCTGGGATCTCAGGCAGGCCTGGGGGTGACCCACATCCAGAGCTGGGCTTTCAGGGTCCAGGCTGCATCTGCCTGGGAAGCAGTGTGTTCTATCTGAGGAGGGTGGCATGGGGTGGGGGAGCCCCTGCTCCTAGGGTGGAGCCCTGTGGCTCTTGAATAAGGACAGCAGCTTATCAGTTCTGTCTCCACCCAACTCCAGGGGGCTTTCCAGAGAGAGATAAGCTCAACTCATTATCTCCCTCACAGAGAGCAGCTAGTTTGCGTTTTCAATTAATTGTACATTTTTCTTGTTTTTTAAATAAATAATAAATGAGTATATTTGAAAGGATAGAAAAGTAAAAAGAACATTTTACAATTGCCCTAAGTCTCCCCACTTGGAACAATCACCCTTCTGCATTCCAGATTTTTCATGTATTATTTTTTATGTGTTTAAAATAACATAGTTGCAGTCAGAGTATAATATTATTCTCGCCTAACAACACTTCATAAGCTTTCTTTATTGTAAAAGCTTTTATATTCTCATTTTTAAAAGTCTCCCTTTGATTTTAGCTAGGTGATGTGTTCTTTAATAAGTCCTATATTTTAAAAATGTTTCCAATTTCATATTATTATAAATGACATCACATGAACATCTTTGTATTACAGCATTCTGTGACTTCAAGTATTTCCTTAGAGTCAATCCAAAAGATGGAATTCCTATAAAGGGTGTAAATATTTATAAGGCAAATAATTTTTAATACCATTTCAGACATCTCAAAATATTTTCCAGTTTCCTTCCCACATTATTTGTAATTCATTTTCATTGTAAAAAAAATGTTAAAACAGAGACAATACAAAGAATGGAAAAAATGATTAATAATCCTACCCCCACAATAACCATTTTGACCCTTTCCTATAAAATCATCCCTTGGTTTCCAGGGAATTTGGTTCCAGGACACTCTTTCTTCCCTGCAGATCCCCAAATCTACAGATACTCAAGTCCCTTCTATAAAATATAATCTAGGCACATTTTCCTGTGTACTCAAATCATAAAACTATACTTCGAATAATATGCAATATGAGGTAAAACTATGTAAACAGTTGTTACACTGTATTATTTAAGGAATAATGATAAGAAAAAGTCCACATGTTCATTACAGATGCGATTTTTCCCCCTAAACAGTTTCCATTCAAGGTTTGGTTGAATCCACAGATATGGAATACATATGTTTAGTATGTAAAATTTGTATTTCTTGCTTATTTCAACTTATTTTTTCCACACCTTTAAGAATTCTTTTTAAATTTGTAATTTAATTTGTAATTACTCCAAAACATCCCACTGTGTGTAAATCGTTATGTCTCTCTTATTGCTTGTTTTGGGGATTTCTTGCCCAGTTTCCCACTGTTACACACAACACTAAAGCGAATGCTAATAAGCCTCTATATTCGTGCTGAGTTGGAGAATTAGAAGACAGTCTTCTGAGAAGGCTGTGGGGAGCTGGGGCCCTCAGGGAGAGCCAGATTTCACCCCATGGTGGGAGGTGCACGGGGTATCCAGGCAAGAGCTTGAGAATGGAGAAAGTGCGCTGATCTCTCGCTAAGTGAGGTCGGGTCACACTGGGGGCTATATTAGGACCTCTCAGGTCCAAATGTCAGAAATTCAACCCAAACTAGACTAAGCAAAAGAAAGAATCCGCTTGCTCTGGTAACCGAAGTCCAGGGCTCTGCGGTCTTCAGTCCTGATGGGGTATGGTCCCCAGAGCTCTCCTTGGCCTCTGCTGCACCGACCTCTGTCCTCAGCAGCCTCACCCCACTCAGCGCAGACAGTGCCCGGCAGCCCCAGGCGGATGTGGTCCTCAGTGTCTGCCAGCCTGAACCAGCCTGAACCAGCCACTGTGGTCATTGTGGATACGTCTCTAAGTGATCACCCTTGGAGGGTAGAACCCACAAGAACCACATGTGGGCAAGGAGGGAGAGAAGGGGTCCCTCAAAGGAAAACTGCTTTGCTGTCCTCAGGAGGAGGGCAGGGTACAGGACAGGCAGAATAACCAGGTGTCCTCAGCAGGTACACCGAGCAGGACCAGATGAGGGGCGGAGTGAGGTTGAGTCACCCCAAGGACTGGGTTTGTACTCAGGGCGGCCACTGAGGGAAACAGAGCGATGTGGCATGATGGGACCTGGCATTGCCAGCTTCTTGGGGGAAGGGGCCGTTGTCCTTTTAGCCCAGGGAGCACCCTATAGATTCTTGGCCAGAGCGCCATCTAGCGCCGCGTCGCAGTGTAGCAGGGAAGCTGCCTCCCAAGACAGCCCCCAACTCCTTGGGTTCCAGAACCGACCTCGGTGGTTAAAAAGAGGCGAGGAGTCATCTGACATAGGTTGAAGGTAAGAGGGAAGATCGGGTAGAAAAAGTTAAGAGGTGAGAACAGGTGTTGGCGATTTGAAGAAAAAGTGATGAAACAGTCTGCATTTCTCCATGTAAGAACAAGCACCCATGAGTGGAAACCAGAGGCAATTTGGGGGTTAATAATTTCACTTACAGGGCTCTCTAATGAAAGAAGTGGGCCTTTTCCTAGGTAGTGAGTTCCCTGTCCCTGAAAGTGTTTAGGCAGTGATTGGATACCTCTCCTAAGATGTTCTACAAAGACTCCTATATTGGGCATGGATTCAGCCCAAACAATTTTAGACTCTAGATTTAAATTCTCTGCCTTTATTCTGTCCTGAAGAAGAAAGAAATCATCTGCCAAGTGGTGCAGTAGCTAAACAACATCTTCAGTGTCCTCTGTTTCCCTTTTCTGGCTCCCTCTTTCTGTCTCCAGGCACCCACCCACCTGCACCCTGAGCCTGGTATTCTGATACCCACAAGGTGCCCAAGACTGCCTTCCAGACCCAGGGTCTCTGCCGCAAAGTTGGTCCTCTCCTTCCCCAATTTCCATTATATACAAAAGCCTGGATGTGAACTCACACTTGAAGGTTGGAATTTAAAACATGGAGCTGTGCTTTGAGTGTAAAGAGTCGGTATCATACATCTTCAGGGCTTTTCTTGCACTAGCTTCTGTGTTCACTCTTAACCGTGTTTTGATTAATCTCATCTCCTCCAGATTATTAGAACCCAAGGGCAGTTTGTTTTATAAAATAACCTTCTGAATCTTCCATGAACTTAGTATTTTTGTAATAGGATATTGCTGGTTAAAATTGGAGTCCACAAGCTCCCCTTGTGAGCTAGTTTGTTTATTCAAAACACATATGAGGACAGTTGTACAAGTCATCATGATAGGCAGGAGGATACACAGATAAGTAAACAGAGTTCTGACCCCTCCAGAGTAAAAGTGAGTTATGAGTTACTTACTAAGTGCCAAAAACTCTGCTACACATTAGATCATGATATCATTTTACAATGGACAACCTCATCATTCAGGAATTACTAGTTTCGTGTTATAAACAAGAAAACTTAGGCAGAGAGGGCTTTGACCAGAAAATAACAGCCAAAACTCAAACCCATATTAACCTGCCTCCCTTTTTCCTATAAGCAAATAAGTAAACACAATCCCAGAACACATGGGTTTTCACTGGAGAAGATATACTCTCTTTGGGGGGAGTCTCCAGGAACAAAAGGACCATATTTTCCCTGTTATTGGATCCAGAGAACACAGCAAAAAGCAAAAACTTCCTGGTTTAGTGCAGGTGGATCCCACAGTGGAATGAAGCCACATCAGAGTCAAAGTGGCTGTGTTTTGCTAGGACCAGACCGTGGGGCTGCTCTGGACCCCAGCTGGCCTGCCTCTTAGTGCAGCAACGAGAGCCACGAGCTCGGGAGCCCTCTAGTGGTGCTTCTGAAACCTCATTAAAAGGCTGGAAAAGGAGCCAGAGTCAACAGGATGCAGTCCCCTGTAGTGGGTTCTGAGCCTCGTCCCAGAAACCATGATAGCATCCCCAGGAGAATTTATCTCCTGCTTGTGTTGCCATCACATCTATACCCCTGAGCTCAGAGGCCCCTTTCAGCCCACGCCCTCACCTTCCAGGCTTTCAGGAGAGTGATTTAAATTGCTCTCCTAATTCTCCTTTGTATTTCCATTGATGCTAATCACAAATGAAAGAGGAAAAAAAATGTTTTTAAATCAGTGAATTGAGCCTTGCAACTT